CTTTGTAGGAAACAAATCATAGAAAAAAATAAACAAATTCTACTGTTCCTAATATTCTGTATGTTGCTCAAAAACAAAATATATTGTGTTCAGCGGAACATACCCAGTCATTTAAAAATAACACCTTTTAGAGCTATAACGACAATACCGTGAAACCGTGATATTTTTGATTAAGGTTATCATACCGTCAAAATCTCATACTGGCCCATGCCTAGCTTATATATTACTTAACTGGCCAACGGAGCGAGCCATCGGAGTGAACCAACCCCGTGACGTCACACGCGGTGGTACTGCAAGATGGTGGCGCCCCTGCTCCAAAAGCTATAACGAAACAGCCTTTTTCTTTAAAATGGTTACATTAATCATGTTTGTTATATATTTTTTAATTAAAGTTGGAAGTCAATTTACTAAATAATGTAAACATGACTGACTGCTTCACTTCCACTTTAATTTCTAACAAAAAATATTTGAGCAAAATGTGTATTTTAGTCAGAATTATGAGCGGTCTGTTTGTTTTGATGCACTAATCAAATTCGTTGACGATTCTTTTCATTATCCATTAGTTGTTGCAGGCCTAGTTTTATACAACCTTTAAACACAAGCCCAACACAGGCAGATGTGTGCAGTCCATAGGGCGCGCATCAAGGTCGCATTAACAACCTTGATTACAATATCATTAAAGGTAAAAAAGGATCTTTCATTGGAAAAGTTTTACACATACTACAAAATACATTCACAACAAATGAGAAGTACTTTTAAGAATGTTTAAAATGATATAAACTCACATGAGATTAAGATTTCAGTCATTTCAGGCCTAAAGCAAGCTGATTTATTCTACATCGAGTCACCTCATGGGGGCAGATGAAGGCCAGATGAATCCTCCACTCTTTTACTTGGTGAAGGAAACACCCCTCTTTTCAAAAACTTCTGATGCTGCATACATGGCAGTAGTTGTCAGTATGAAGTCTATCATATAGTCCAGTAGTTTACAGTCCACTTTTGGTTTGGTTGTCTTGATCTTCACCCCATATGGTCTCAGGACCTAAAAATGAGAAGAATATATATACACAATATTAATACACAGCTTGCTGGAATACTCAGTTGTTATTGGTCAGTTGCACACTCATCTAGCCATGTAATAAGTGCAATAATGTCCATTCAGCTGGTGTTATCACAAATAACCTTAAAAGGGTGATAAGGACCTGAAGCTAAGCAAAAAGAATGTACATTATATGACCAACAGAATGTATTATCCTGTATGCAATTTTTTGACTGTACTGAAGCATAAAAATACCATATGTTTGCAGATATTTAGGAAATAAGTTGACATATGTTTCTCCACGATTCTGGACAGACTACTAAACAAAATAACATACTCAGGGCTCCAGACTAACATTTGAGAGCAGTGGCGCTGCTGCCACTAAGTTCTACAGAAGGTGGCGCCAGCACCTGATTTGGTGGTGCAGGTTTTTGTTTTTTTTTAAATCATAAAAGATCATTTAATCATATTACTATTGTTTTGCATTAATAAGTGCAGTTACTAATAATATTACGTTTATTCATTGGAAATTTGACAGTAAAGCAATGAGCTTGAATTGAGATGCAGATAAAATTAACTTATTTACAGTAACGTGCAAAAACATTTTTATAAGGAAAAATTTAAATATTCTTCTTTTATTAAATGTACCATACTGAACTAACCGACAGCTTTAAAGAGGCACTCTTTACTTGCGTTCTGTGTAATTCAGTCACAAGTTGAAGAAGTTTTTGTTTTTCATAAGACTTTTCCTACTTTTCAATACGTTCTTTTCTGTTGCTATCTAGTGGTAATTTTTACAGAAGTGTTAGTTTTCCTTCATCGTTAAACTTTTATGCGTTCTGTGTAATTCAGTCACAATTTGAAGAAGTTTTTGTTTTTCATAAGACTTTTCCTACTTTTCCATTTATTAGGGAGTCAATACGTTCTTTTCTGTTGCTATCTAGTGGTAATTTTTACAGAAGTGTTAGTTTTCCTTCATCGTTAAACTTTTAGTTTACAAATCATCACATTAAAACAACACTGAAACTGGATAATATTTAGAGCTTTTAAGTGCTGGAAAAAGTGTGAAGCACTTTAAAAAAATCATTGAAAAGTGCTAGAATTTCACTCTCAAAAGTTTTCATGAACCCTGAAACCCTGGAGTATTTCCTCCACAATACCATAGTTTCAGTAAGCATTACTACATTAAATCCATGGTGATTTGTAGACTAGGAAGACTTAACTTGTTCGTGGCACAGTGTTTCTCCTGGTTTCCATGGCAGTGCTATTTGATCCGATATCTGTGGTCTAAAGCAGAGAATTCTGCGCTGAATCTGAATACTTCCCACTAGATCTCGCAGTGATGTTGCTAATTTTGCGGCGAATTCAAATGCTTTCTCACTGGATCTCCTAGTGCTGTGTAAGCAGTAGAGGTCGACCAATTGATCGGCCGGCCGATTAATCGGCCTGTTTTTGGCATTTTTTAATTTATCGGCATCGGCCGATTGTGTTGCAAATTAGGCCGATTCATAGGCAGGCGCATCTGCGGGCAGCTAAGCATTGTTGCGGAACACCGGATAATCTCTCTCTGGCTGCATGAGAGACGGAGCAACTCACACTCTGCAGCCGCTTCTTGTTCACACACAGCTTCAGCTAATGATGGCAGGGCAAAACAGACCGTTTCGAAAGCGTAATTATGTTTTACCCTACTAGAATTGATGCCGGAAAGTTATCATAATCATAAGTGCAACAAGTCATTTGCATGTGAAAGTAAAAACATGCAATTCAGACGAAACTGATTATAACGTGCACGTTAACTTTCCTCGTGAAATGTGTGTGTACGAATGTATTTATGAAAAGAACCGACTGTCTTTAGAAAAGCTTCGATGTAATTTTCATTTCGTCTTTCCTGTAATGCCTGATAAAGTAGCGTTTGTGAGCACAGCGCTTATTTGATTACAACCGTTACCAGGGAAACCACTATATCTCCCGCTCCAACAATGCCTCCTGCTGGCAGAGAATGAATTTGCATTTGCAAGTCTGTGGGAAACACTGGTGTCTGTCAGCAAACATAAATTTAATGTGTTTTTTTAACTTTACACTTCAAATTTCATTACACCAAATACACAAAATAATGTTCTTTTTAGCAACATCATATGACCCCTTTAAGTTTTGAGCCATGTATTATTACTCTGAATTGGGCTACTACTACTATTACTATCTTGTACCCTGCAAAAATTTACTCACTCACTTTTATGAAAATCGGCCAAACATATCGGCCAAAAAAATCGGCATCATATATCGTCCATCAGCTGCCCTGATTTCTAAATATCGGCATCGGCCAGTGAAAAACCCATATCGGTCGACCTCTAGTAAGCAGTGTCACATGATCAAGATTGGCGCGCACTGAGCTCGCGCTGCACTTACTATTATTGCTCAGTGCTGATAAATGGTTCGTGCTGCACAGCTCAAACGAGTAGCGCTGTTTCGTTTCATTTGCCGCTTGATGTTTATCATTATCAGTTGCAATGTGGTGGCGGCACCAGAGCAACCTCTAACAAAATTTAGTCGCTCTGGCAGAAAAAAAGCTTGCAAAATGCTACCGTTTACTCGCAGTCTATTTAAAATGTTTAATTAATCTGAATTATTTTATTTTTTAATTCTTAGAATGAATGATTCAATGACTCACTATAACTTATTGATTCAATGACTCACATAATTACTTAATTGCTTCATTACTGGATGAATCAGTGTTTTTGAACGAATCTCTTGAATGAATGATTCAATGACAAATTAATTTTTTTAAGTCACTTGTCACCACTTAGTGGCTTAACGATGTAATAGATACAATCTTTATTTGAAGTGCCATGTAACTTGGGTGATTCACTTTTTGGGGCCAGATTTACTAAACAGGGCAAATTAGCGTTAGAGCTCAATTCCATAAAAGCACCGATGGGAATAGAAATTTCTGTGTGTGATTTACTGACAAGGCGCACACACAGAGAACACAGACGCAACATCTCATTTCCATAATGACCAACGCAATCTACCAAGCGCAGTGCTAATTACTGTCTGTTTAAAGACATGCTTTTTAGGGGTGTTAAATAATGGGTCAAATGCCAGTAAATTGACGAGTGCAAATCTTAGTAAATTGTGCTGCATGATTCATTTAAATACTCTCCTCCCATAAATTTAGTGTCTGAAAGGGAAACTCCTACAAATGCATATGAAATAAGGTCAGCTGCAAAGATAACTGTGTCCACGCCTTTTTTTAGTGCTAATATCTCACTGCGTGTCTTTAAATCCTGACAGTAGATTTTTAATGCCAAAAGAGGGTTTGCGCTGGTGCAAACTGTTAGTAAATCTGTCCCTTGATCGCTAACGTAGACATCAGTGTTTATATCCGAACTATTTGTAACAGAAATAACAATACTGTGTGGTTGAAACGACTGTGAAGCTGTTTCATACCTATACATGACAACTGCTCAATTGTCTGGATCAGCGGCAGCGTCTATGCAGATTTGAATGTTTCAGTGAGATTTTGTCAAAAGTTTAATAGACAGGCAAATCGTTGTAATTTAGGAATGAGATCGCGTGGACTCACCGTTCTCGAGACATTTTCAATAAACATTCATTTACCCATTTTAAACCAGCTAGGAGGCTGGCCAGCTAGCTGTAGTTCGACCTGAATTCTGCTACCTCTGATGATGCGGTAACTACCGTGGGGAAAAATAAATAAATAAGTCTTCGGTTTGTCCAATGACTGTTTACAGTCTGTCAGACTGAAGACATTTTTAAGGTAACATGACCACAAATATTTAAGAGCCATTGAATCTGAATTTAAGACAATTTAATACTTTTTAGGGCCTTTTATTAGGGAAACTTTATTTAAGACTTTTTAAGGACCCGCGGCCACCCTGAATAAACACATGAGCAATGCTACTCACCAGCAATTGGCGACAAGCTTTTATGTCTGGTTTCTCCCTGGTTTCTTCATAGGCCAGCTGCTGATCCTTGGAAGTCTTCCGTCTTTTAAAAACATAACAAATTGTACCAACCCCAAACTTTTGAACAGTAAGTGTATGTTTGAAAATTTACTTACTAGTCATATGATTCATAGCGTCTTGGAGATGTTCTCTGACAGGAAATCTGCTCCAACTCAGCTGGGATACAGCAGGCCATCAGCATGGAAGAATCTAGGAACATAAGCACAGAAAAGAGAAAGAATATACAGAAAATAATTTCCTCAACCTCATGTCTCAAAGCACAAAACATTACAGTAACAATAAATGTAAACAACTTAGAAAGCTTATACTGCTGCAAGGGTGTTTCTAATACAACGGCTGAGGGAGTGATGGCCAATTTGACATCATCAGGGATCCAGACTGTGACCAAACTTTGCAAACTTGTCCGAGCTCAGAACAGCTTACCTCGAGAGCCAAAGTTGATTTCGCGACACTGTTACTGCACAGATGCAACAGTGCTGCGAGATCCAGTGAGAAGCGTTTGAATTCACCGCACAATGATAAGGTTGCTGCGAGATCTAGTGAAAAGCATTCAAATTCTGTACAGAATTCTCTGTTATAAACAGCGCTGACATACGTCAGGAACACTAACTGTAACCATGGTGTTGTGGTAGAAATAGTCGAATGCATTACATAATTCATTTCAGGTTTTGTACAACCTTTTAAGAGAGAATTTCAAGCACTTTTCAATGACTTTCAAGCATTTCACACAACTATTTCCAGCACTTTAAAGCTCTAAAATGATCCAGTTTGAATGTTATTTTTAATGGGATGACCAAAATATACTTTGTGGTAAACAAAGACTTATGTAAAATTTTAAAAGTACATCAAATCACAATTATAACCAGTAGACAGCAGCAGAGGAGAAATTATTGGCTTATTAGTCATTCATTTCTACTTTTTCTCTATATTTTGAAATTATAAAATCACTATTATCAAATCATCAAGAAATCCGATTTTGTCAGAATTTTACACTTTTTTGTGTTTGAAGTATAGAAAAGTCACAAAGTGCCTTGAAAAACAAACTTTTCTTAAATTTGCTACTAAATCACACATAATCACTGAAGTTGGTCAGGTCCATATTCTTGAAGAATAATTTGGAGATTTTGCACCTGTTACTGTTGTTAATAAAAAGTACATTTTGTATGCATCTTAACTCAAGCTTAGTGCTTTACTGTCAAATCTGTATAAACAATAAACAAAAGAAAAATAAACAAGAAATTAACATTTAATATTATTAGTAACTGCACTTATTGATGCAAAACAATAGTAATTTTATGATTAAATTATCTATATTTTAATACTCCCGCACACCACCCTCAGTGCTACCAAATCTGCTTCTGGCGCCACCATCTGTAGAACTTAGTGGCGCTGGTGCCACTGCTCTCAAATGTTAGTCTGGAGCCCTGATCATTCTCTCTTCTGACCAACATCAACACTCTCTCTATATTTTTTTCCCTTTTTTTGGAAAGTCATGGAAATGCTACTGCTGATTTTTACTTTTGCTATTAGAGCAAATGCAAATACAAAAATTATATTTGCTGTCATCTCCCATTCATTTACATTTAAAGGGGCAATAGTTCTGATATGTTTTATCTTTTTTTTTTTTTTTTTTTTTCTAAGAGTAAAATCATGTTTGTTTTTGTAGATGTTGAAAGCCAGAGACCAGAGATAAATTTATAAAACAATTAACTTTTGAATTATATTCTCTTTTGCCTCTTCTAGCGCTGGAATGGTTTAAAATCTATTAAATGTGTAAACTAGCAAGACAAAACATGTGCAAATTATAAGCTTTCAATCTATGGTGGTTAAACTTGCAATTAATCCGCGAAACACATGCGTGCCGAACCGTGGGGCCTGGTCCGTACAGATCATGGTTCCACACAACCCCTAGAAGTTATACTAAAACTGCTTTGACAAAAGTTAATTGTTTTATAAATTTACTTACCACAAATGCACTTGAACTGCCAATAGAACTCACTTTTCATCAGGTCCTATAATGTTTCATGGGGGTATAGTTGCGACAGGTCATTATAGCAGGCTGGAAAAAAGGTTTTAAAAACAAAAAATGAGAATTATGTACCATATACATTCATTAATGTTCTTTTAAAGGAAATAGTTAATTTATATTTGAACCAGACACAAGTTAAAAAGACAGTTTGAAGATAAAAATGTGATTGAAAACTTACCTGACACTTTTTATGTGTAACAGAACAATCTGAAAATTTGATACTCTACATTTTGATACAGAAAAGTTTGGTTTTATTTATTTTATTTGAATTTATATTCCTACTGTGCCTTTATGTATTTTTAGTCTTATCACATTTATTTAATGATTTCTGATACAAACCAATAAAATTAAAAGGGCAAAAATAAACCCAAATTAACTAATGAACCTATACAGGATACAAGACAATACAATACAAGACAGTTGTGTTATTTAGCATTTTTCATCTGCTTAGACCCCAGTAATAGGCATTTGTTAAATGTGTTCAAAGTTATAACACCAAAACAATAAAACATAGAACATGTATTTTACAAACAGATTTATAGAAAGTCAGAAATTGTATCCAACATCCTTTACTCCTCGTCTAGAATGTTGTAAGATCTGTAAAATACACACAAACAAACAATACATCAGCATAATTCTGTCACGTGTTTGTTCCCGTTGAGTTCCTGTTTTACTTATTTGGTCCTTCCTGTTCCTGTCCCAATGTAGTTTGATTTGTTCCAGGTGTATCTCATTATTAGTTATCCTCCTCACCTGTCTGCACCTCGCTATCTGCCCTATTTAGTTCTAGCCTGTTCTGAGTTTCTTTGTCTGGAATTGTTTTGTCTACATTGCTGCGTGTGTTCTCCTGGTTCCTTTGGAAGTTTCTTAAAGACAGTTTGAAATGAATTTCGCATCTCGTTCCTCGCTCCGTGCTCCTCACAGTAGCAACCCGTGACAGAATTCCAGACCCAAACAAAGAGTGAGCGACGACTTTTCCTCGCGTTTGTTTTTTTCCGCCTTTTGAGAAGTTTTTTTGTTTTCATTTTCCCCGCGGCTAAGGAAATTGCCGCTCGGTTCTCCTCCTTGGCTCGCCTAGATCTCCCCTTTGTCGAGTATTCCTGGGAGTTTTGCAGGCTCGCCGTGGCTATGGCCCTCGATGACTCCACAATTAATTCTCTGTTCTGGCTCGGGGCCAACTACCATCGCCCCGTGGACCTCCCAGACACCACGGGACTGAGTTGGAGGGCAGGAATTCTCCGGTGTCTGGAGAGCGTCCTGCCCGGAGCCAGAACCAGCCTGCCATCCGCGGCTCACGCAAGCCCGCCGCCGTCCGCGGCATACTCTAGTTCACCGGCCGTTAATACGGCAAGCCCAACGAACATTAGTATGGCAAGCCAACCATGTGTTCATGAGGCCCCAGTGTCGGTTCCAGCACCAGTGCCTGCTCCTCGTAAGTGCCTTCCAGAGCTCGCTGCAGCCCCAGAGCTCGCTCCAGTGTCGGCACCTTCCAGAGCTCGTTCCAGCCCCAGAGCTCGCTCCAGTGCCAGCTCCTCGAAAGCACTTTGCTGTGCCTGCTCCTCCAGAGCACCCTCCAGTGCCAGCACCACGTAAGAACTACCCTGATCCCCAGTTCAATCAAGGAAGGGCTCCTGTTCCCGAGTTAAGCCCACGGAGGGCTCCTGATCCACAGTTCACCCCAGCCAGAGCTCGCTCCAGTGTCGGCTCCAGCCCCAGAGCTCGCTCCAGTGCCCGCTCCTCGTAAGTGCTTTCTAGAGCGCCATCTAGTGCCCGCTCCTCCAGAGTGCCCCCCAGGATTCCTAGATTTCTCCATGAAATTTTTTGGGGGGGGGGCATATACCTGTGGCCGAGCCAGCTAAGGCCACGGAGGATCTGCCATGGCCTTCTGAGTCCCCTGATCCGCCATGGCTCCCTGATCTGCCCGACCCCCCCCTCCCTGATGGTACTGTTACGTGTATGTTCCTGTTGAGTTCCTGTTTTCCTTATTTGGTCCTTCCTGTTCCTGTCCCAATGTAGTTTGATTTGTTCCAGGTGTATCTCATTATTAGTTATCCTCCTCACCTGTCTGCCCCTCGTTATCTGCCCTATTTAGTTCTAGCCTGTTCTGAGTTTCTTTGTCTGGAATTGTTTTGTCTACATTGCTACGTGTGTTCTCCTGGTTCCTTTGGAAGTTTATTAAAGACTGTTTGAAATGAATTTCGCATCTCCTCGTTCCTCGCTCCGTGCTCCTCAAAGTAGCAACCCATGACAAATGCAGAAGTCATTACATTAAAAAAATCTATACAGCACCTTTTAAAGGGGTCATCGGATGCCCATTTTCCACAAGTTGATATGATTCTTTAGGGTCTTAATGAAAAGTCTATAACATACTTTGGTTAAAATTTCTCAATGGTAGTGTAAAAAACTCCCTTTTTATTCTGTCAAAATCAGCTGTTTTCAGCATGCTGTTCTAGTCCATGATGCTTTAAATGCTAATGAGCTCTACTGACCCCACCCCTCTCTTCCGTAGGGTGACGAGCAGACTGTAAACTTCAGCCGCGAAACTTGCTAACTAGCACATTATTAGGAAAGGTGATTTGCAAAGATTCATAAAAACCCTTATACTCACTTCTTCTGTAGTTGAAGCTGGATCATGAATGATTCGCGCGAACTTAAACGCATTTAGGCAGATCGGGGATCGGCGCATTCCCTTCAAAAACTAAAGTAACTTTAATCCTCTGCGTCTTCAGCGGCTCAGATGTCAGGAGTAAATGACGACTGCTATGTTCATTATTACATCCAACAACAAAACATCTCAATCGCTTAGGAGACATTCTTGCCTTCCCCTGCACCGGAGTCGACACATAGCAGACAGCTCACAGCTCACTCAGGGCAGGTCTAAGGTAAGACGGCCTTGTCAATAAACTATTGTGGGAGGGGCCTGTACAGAATTACGTCATTCTGACAGGAATCTCAGAACAGCCTGATTTGAGAAAGGGGATTTTAAAATAGGGATTTAAAAAAAAAAAAAAAAATGGGTGGATTTTTATCATTATAAGATGGATGTATACACACTTCCAACACACATTTATGTTCAAACAACTTGTAAAGTGAATTTTGCATCCGATGACCCCTTTAAGACACTGACCGACAACGCTACAAAGCATCTGCCTGTTTAAGATGCACCATATGTAAAATGTGCAATATGGGTAGTTACCTTACTTTCCTTGTACATATCATAATAATAAAACATGATGGTTTGATATTTAATAATAACTCCTGTACTGTACATTGGAAGTGATTCACTGTAACTGCATTACAGTAAACACATTTCCAGTTTCCTTTTTAAGATTTCTGGGGTATTCACCATCAGGACACCATCAAGAGATTATATCCATATGGTTTTAAGGGTTTGTTCACCTTAAAATGAAAATGAAGTTGAGATAACCACAACTTAAAAGAAAAAAAATAGCCCAAACTCACGCCATAGGAAGGCAAATATTCTATCACCTGGCCCTAGATCACAAATTGCTGTCTTAACAATGCAAGCAAGCTGTTCAGTAATGCAGAGTTCACACTGCACGATATTAGCCCGATTTTTCACTCGCCGACAGGTTTTGCGAAATCGCCGACAAATGCCCGAAATCGGAGGCAAATCGGTGCTCGTTCACACGAGTGACAATCACGCAGTGTGAATTATCAAAGACGCGATCTGAGGGAATCGCCGACACGTCGCCGACGCCCGCAAAATATTTGGCATGCTAAATATCTAGAGCTGTCGGCGATTCACAATCATGCAGTGTGCAATGATTTCTGACTGAAAACTACATCGAAAATCGTGCAGTGTGAACTCGGCATAAAGGGTAGGTTAAGTTTGTTTCTTGCTGCCCCTCTTAGCTCGTTCATATTTGCAGATGGAAACTTCTTTAAAGTGTACTCTAAATATATAAACCAGTTAAAACAATTATGAGAAATATTTAGTGCCACAATTAACAATGAACAACTTTACATAATACAATGATTAAAAAAGAATGTAAGTAGTACCATACCAAAAATGGCATTGACAAGCTTCTTTTCCAAGCAAGGTTTCACACTCTCTGATGCACCTCCCTTTAATCCAGTTAAGGAGTGTGTTGACAGCTCCTCCCGTGTGAACATCACTCCAAGCAGATCACACACAAGTTTTGTAGGTCTCTGATGGTTGCATTGCATAAGCTTTGAACCAGATCCAGTCTGTATCCAGATCAGATGGTCACTGCAGTCACCCGGATCCAGTACGTATCCAGACCAGATGGTGGATCAGCACCTAGAGAGGACCTCTACAGCTCTGAAAGTCAGCAGAGACCAGGACAACTAGATGAGCCCCAGATACAGATCCCCAGTAAAGACCTTGTCTCAGACGGCCACCGGGACAAGACCACAGGAGCCAGTTGAGTCCTCTGCACAACGTGACTTTGCTGCAGCCTGGAATTGAACTGCTGGTTTCGTCTGGCCAGAGGAGAACTGGCCCCCCGACTGAGCCTTGTTTCTCCCAAGGTTTTTTCTCCATTCTGTCACCGATGGAGTTTTGGTTCCTTGCCGCTATCGCCTCTGGCTTGCTTAGTTGGGGACACTTCATTTCCAGCGATATCATCGACTTGATTGCACAGATACTATTTAAACTGAACTGAGCTGGATTATGACATTACTGAATTCAATGATGAACTGCCTTTAACTGAAAATTGAGTGTTTACTATTGTCACTTTGCATTATTGACACACTATTTTCCTAATTAATGCTGTACAGTTGCTTTGACACAATCTGTATTGATAAAAGCGCTATATAAATAAAGGTGACTTGACTTGACTTTGTTTTGTTCACTGTAACTCCATCAGCAATAGTCACCTAAAACATTTAAAAAAAATTGCAGTACATCTAAAATAAAAATGGTAACACTTTACAATAAAGTTAATTTAACATTAGTAAACTACTTTAGTTAACATGAACTAAAAAGGAAT